TTAAATATAAGATAATTATTGCTGCATAACATTGCATTATAGAATGTTTACTGCTTCATAATCTTTCTTCTTTTTTCTAGACACTTTTATTTTACGATGCTATAAAAAAACACACCAGAACTAAATGTTAAGATAATTATGATAACCGATAATTATGAATAATAACTAATTCAAGATAATAAATCTGCTAACCGCGCGTCATTATGGGTTCAAAATTTTCCACTTCGTCATTTATGTTCAACTTCTGTACCTTAAATATAAAGAAAAAAATATACCTTTTAAACTGTATTCTTACTTTATCAGGACTTGTGTTCTTCTTGACTTGCTTTGGAAACATGAACTGCCCTGACTCGGAACAGGGAGCTTACTCCAGCTATGTTCAATAAATTGTGAAGTAGACAATACACACAGGAAGGGTATACGAAACCCTTTATTTTTTCTATCTTTACAGAGATTTCCGGAACTTCGGAATACAGAGACCAACCACTTGTGGTCTGAACGTAAGAATATAAAACTACTAACTAAAACTTTAACTAAAACTAACTTTGGTTAATATACAAGTGCCTAGCTTTAAGATTGGCCGTTATTTAACAAAGTCCGTATGTAGTACAGAGAGCTGCTTAAAACTACGATACGTTTGAAATTATCAGAGGACTAAACCTCTGGCCTTGAAGGCAACCAGCAACGGAGTAAACTACTAAGGGCAAGCGGCTTTCTTCTTCCAATACTCCTTCCTCTATCTTGCTTGGCAAAAAGCCACAACTTAAGTACATGGCGTTAGCAAGGACAAATTTGCATAAAATAAGTTAAAGCTTTTAATTCTGGCCGGAAGTAGAAAATAAGAAGTGATAGTAAAGATTTAAAATAAAATAAACGTTAGTAAAACTTAGGATCCTTACAACTTCACGAACAAATATTGTATTGTGTTATTTATTACATGCATATAAAGTTTAAAACTCATTAAGTACTCATTAAGTAAGTAGAGATTTTTAAAAATTTGTTTTTTTTGAATTTTGGCATAATTTTTTTGGGCGATAATAACGCCAGATGTAGTTTACGCACTTTGTTAATATTATTTGAAAGTATGAACGATGACTTTTTCCCTCTCGTCTGCAATTAAAAAATATCTGATGTGTACACCACATGACTTCCTTGCACGGAATATTAAATCATACGCATTTTTTCTTGCATTTCATTTAAATATTGGATTGAATTAAATCTACTTCGCCGACAGCGCTAAACCAATAGAATAAATGCATTCTTAAAATTCACTCTAGTATTTGTTTACATAGGACACTTGGCGCTAGATTCACTTACAGTATATATTTCGTTCATATTATAATCATAATGCACAAAATTTATATCATTTAAGAATATAATTATCTAATCCGTTGCCAATGTTCTATTCAAATACTATAATAAAGCAAGAATGATTAATAAAAGAAATTAAGCAAACAAAGCAAAAAAGAAACAGTTTTTACAGACGTTGAGTATTTCTCATTCAATTAATTCAGTTCTCACTTCGCGAGAGGCAAAAATACATAAAAACTCAAAATATCTATAGTAAAATTACGAAGTAATCTTAACACTTATTTCCTCGAAAAAATTCCAGAAAGGATTAAGCATGATTAATTGGCATAATAAATGAATGCGTTGTCTTTGTTGCTGCGAAGCTAAGTTCTCTAGATGGCAACAAATCCACTAGTCTGCTGTTTTAAATGTAAACATCAATGGCCCCGCCATAAAAAAAAAGACTTAGTGGCATTTAAACAACTTTAAATTGTTGATAATTCTAAAATATTGCATACAGAGTTACTAAGGCATAAAAACCTAACCGGAAGATAAAACAACATAATTCAATCATTTTTAAAACAAAAAATGTACAATTTACAAACATATAAGAGAAAAGAACTGAGATCACACTGAGCCGGGTTAACAGAGTGGATATATATAAATATATTTATACGTTTGGTGCGGCCGATTGCAACCAAAATACGAGGTGCCGATCTACATGTTATAGCAGTCCTATATACAAAATTTCAACGTTCTTAGGCTAGTCGTTTTTGAGTTATGCGAGATACGTACGCACGTACGTACATACGTTCGTACAGACGCCACGAAAAATTCTCTTCAGAATTAATTTTAAAGCAGTTTTGTAATTTTTTTTTTTTTTTTTTTTTTTTTTTTGTAGAAAACGAGTTTTTTATTCTGTTCTTACGTACAGATATCCCGCAAAAACATCGTTAAATTGCATTCGATAGCGGTCAAAATGGATATTTTCGTTGAAATATGCTGCCTGAAACATTTCGCGATTACAATACTTCCTTTTTTCTTCGTACAAGGAAGTAAAAAGAGTTTCATAATTTCCAAAAACATTATAAATTCCCGTGGAATAAGGATTCATCAGCAGTCAAACTATTATTAAAGCTTGAATTAAAAAATAAAAAAGATAGAACCTGACATCAGAATTTGAAAAAACAATATTGTGATACCTTGTAAGGTTTTATCCTAAGTTTTTAACAATTATCTTTAGTTAAAGCTACTTACCTATCCCTCCTAATTTCAGCTTACAATTTCCCACCAGAATGTGTGTTTAGAATAGCGGTTAATGCAAATGCAAATGAGTAAGAGCGGTATTTAAGTCGAAGTTCCACTGACTTAGTGAGACAGCCAGATATTCTGACATGCGCGCGTTTGCCTTGTGGCTACACTCTCTCTAAGCTATGACTACGCTCGGCCGTATTTCAAGCCCTTGATAGCTTCGCCAATTTAGTTGATAATTAAGAGCCAACTACTCAGAATTTTGATAGCTTCGGCTATATCTTTTTAATTAAACATTAGTTATGTTTTTATTTCTTATTATTTAGGTTCAAGCCCTTGTAAGCTCTGAGAAAGAAGTCGACTTTAATTCTTATTTTGAGAAATAAAGGGTAATTACCCTTCTTGAGTTCTCTGTTCCTGAACTAAAGCGATTATTCGCTTACCAGTTCACAAGGTTCCTACGCACTTAGCTGTAAGATAAAGGTTGGAATCCTACAACCTAAATAACCTAAACTGTGTTTTTACTTCCTTGTACGAAGTAAAAAAGAAGTATTGTAATCGCGAAAAGTTTCAGGCAGCATATTTCAACGAAAATATCCATTTTGACCGCTATCGAATGCAATTTAACGATGGTTTTGCGTGATATCTGGACGTAAGGACAGAATAAAAGACTCGTTTCCTCCAAAAAATATTATAAAACTGCTTTAAAATTAATTCTGAAGAGAAATTTTCGTGGCGTCTGTTCGTACGTACGTATCTCGTATAACTCAAAAACGAGTAGCCTCAGAACGTTGAAATTTTGTATATAGGACTGCTATAACATGTAGATGTGCACCTCGTATTTTGGTTTCAATCGGCCTGACCAAACATATATAAATACTACGTTTGTATATATATCCACTTTGTTACTCGGCACAGTAATCTCAGTTTCTTTACTCTTACATGTTTTTAAATTGTACATTTTTTGCTTTAAAAATGATTTAATCGTGTTTTTCTTATCTTCCGGTTAAGGTTTTATGCCTTTCGTAATTCTGGAAGCAATATTTGTACAATTATCAACAATTTAAAAGCTGCTTAAGTGCGGTTAAGTTTTAAATAACATGGCGGACATATTGTTTACATTTGCAACAGAAAAATTGTAGATTTGTTACCAATCTAGAGAGAGTAAGCTTCGCAACAACAAAAATAACGCCTTCATTTATTATTGCGAATTAAATCATGCTTAATCCTTTCTGGAATTTTTTCGAGGAAATAAGTGTTAAGATTTACTTCGTAATTTTTAATATAGATATTTTGAGTTTTTTATTTATTTTTGCCTTCTCGCGAAGTGAGAACTGAATAATTGAATGAGAAATACTCAATCGTCTGTGAAAAAACTGTTTCTTTTCTGTTTTGTTTGCTTAATTTCTTTCATACATCGTTCTAGCTTTATTATAGTATTTTGAATAGAACACGTGGCAACGATAAGATATTCTTCAAATGATATAAATTTTGTGCATTCAGACTGTCGTTATAGTAAACAAATATAGTGAATTTTAAAGAGTGCATTTGTTCTATTGTGGTTTATGCGCTGTCGACGAAGTAGATTTAATTCAATCCAATCAATTTAAATGAAATTCAAGAAAAAAATGCGTATAATTTAATATTCCGTACAAGGAAGTCATGTGGTGTACACATCAGATTTTTTAGATTTTAGAGTGCAGTTTTTTATGCATAAACTCTCTAGAAGCTGAATGATTCACAGAATCGATTGTGCCTTACAATCACAGTTTATTATTATTTTTTTTTTTTTTCGAATTTCTCATTCTTTCGATATTGCACTCAAAGGCTTGCTTACATGCATTTTGTTCTTTTAAAAAATATTGCTCCTCTCTGGGTTAGAAAGATGGCACATTATAAGGTAGTTGTTTAATTGATCAATTAGGGAAAAACATGATAAGGCTGTATGCCTAAAAAGTAGACATGTTCTCGCTGAGAACGTTTTGAAAGAAACCGAGTCATATTCACATTATACATAAAAACATTCCCAAACACTCATACAGTAAGCCGTTTCTTTGCGATTCAAAGCCAAATCTGGCTACTAGTATTAAGCGGTTTGAGCCAATTAATCACTACTAGACACCATTATAGAGTAGAAAAGACGATCAGAAAAATCATACTTTTAATATAAATTCTAATATTTTTAAGGAGGGAGTACCGTGAAAGCATAACTTCTTGTATATAAGTACTATTAATTGCTATAAAATCTTTCTGTTTCATGATCATTAAAAAATCACTCAGAAATGTAGAAAGTTTTATATGGATTTCAGTGAATTTCGATGTGTGTTCTAGCTGCTCGACAGATGTTTAGAATATATTCAATTTTCATCCATGTATTATAAAAAATCTCTGAATTTACCGTTTGAATTTCAACTATGATTCGAAATAATGTTTTAACTATATACAATGTTCTTTTTCACAGATAAAATTCACAGGTGCAAGATGTGAGCTGCGTAGATGGTAATGGGCTATGTGTTCAATCCATGAGTTGGGGAACTTCTCGTTTAAAGCTGCATACATGGTTAGCCATCTAGTGAGCGGAGGTAACAAGTATATTCTTTTATCAATTTCAATATAAGAATTATTTCTAAAAATTTCAGATTTCATTATATAATAAACTTGTGAAATCTCATCAGTTTTTTTTCGATCACCCTGTATGATAAGAATGTTTGTTAGTTGTATTTTATGGGTTTCAGTTTTCAGTTTTTCCTTTTACCCTCCCTTCATTTAGAAATATTTAGGCATCTTTCTTAAAAATTCTTCTGCACTAATTGGCATTAAATAGTAATTAGTGAAATGACAGAGCTTATAGTTATAATTAATTTCTTTAGAAGCTTTCATTTATCCACTTCACAGAAGTGCGCCATTACGTTTCATTTATCCTTTTATTTATTATTCCTAATATGCTACCTGAACATTGGAAGACTTTTTTAATAATACTGGATGGGGGTACACGATTACATTATAAGGTATTTCCTCCCTCCTTTCTGCATGCCTTCATGGTGTAATGGTGGCACACTCGACGCTAATTCAAGAGATCCAGGTTTAAGTCCCGGCTAGGGCATTTGCTCAGTTTTCGTGTCCCCTGCGTTAAAAAAATCCTAATGACTCTACGGCAATACTTAACCGAATTTAAATTACACAGTCTACTATGCTGATGTCAATATTTAGGTCTTCAGATATTTTACGGCATTCACTCATAAATTACAGCACCCGCAGTTACCATAATAAAATCATAAACTTCCGCTGCAGCAATTTCATGCAAAGTAAAAGAACTGTTTTTTATTTAGGTTATTGGATATAAACTTCAGTTCTTTTTGTGTAACGTTTCACAACCATTTCAACATCCCTGCAAATATTAGTTACTTTTTCTGTTGTACATTTAAACTGCTGGTTAGAATAAATTAAACAGCAGGAAAATTCTCATTCTTTAAAAGCGGTTATTTCAACACATACGCACCTTTCGTCAAAACTGTTTTGGCGATTGTTTTTTTATACTTATTTTTTCTTGTAATGTATTTTCCAGTTTCTGATACTTCATATCTATTGCAATATATAAGACATTTTCAATAAGGAAAGAATTACGTATACTTATAATTCAAACAGTTGAATAAATCTACCTTTCATGACACAGACAAGAAAAAAAGAATTCCAGCACAAGAAATAGTATTTCGAAAGAGATATTGCAATAAACTGACTTACTACAAGTACTAATAAATGAAGTCAACTCTTTACTGAAATATTCAAGTCTGGAAAATTATGCAAAATTCAAGCGGATTTGATATGATAACAGCAAGAGTAAAGAAAGTTAAGATTTATTTCTAGCTAAAATAATAAAATTTGAGTACTTTGTTGGATAAATGTCTTCGAGTTCAGGTGAATTATTCACATGTAACGTTATTTCATCGCAAAAACTTAAGTGACGCTTCTTATTACACCGAATTCTAGTTCCGCATTTTACTATAGTGAATTAAGATTTTACTATAGTGAGTTATTGCATTTCTATGAAAGCTGAATGACAAATCTGAGTTTAAATGTCATATAGTAGTGTATTATTGTGACCGTTATTAAGAAAGATTTTAACTTCGCATAATAGTTTTTCTTTCCCCCCCCCCAACCTTATATACTCTGTAGATCGCCAGCATACATTTATGCGAATCCTTTATTACTGTATACAAAATACAGCAGTAGAATAAAAAAGTCGTAGTGGAAGATGGTATTATAACAAATAGTAAGAAGGGAGACTGCAACATTGGTGCAATTCTCTTTTTATCCTTTTCTTATTACAATAAGCCTAGATTGTGATTAATAAAGGATTACATTTTCCATAATTTGTTAGCAACTCATTTTGATATACATGGATGCGCTCTGTTTATCATCTTCTGAGGTTTTAGATTGGTTTAATAAAAAGTGTAAATGCGTAAGATTTACATTAAACCTATAAGGTATTTCTCCCACCTCCTAGCTTGCCTTCGTGGTGTAGTGGTTCTGCACGCTGGGCCGGTATTCCAGAAGTCCGTAGTTCGATTCCCGCCGAAGGCGATTGCTCAATTTTTCATCTTGCCTACTTCCAAAAGGTACCTAATGTTTCTACAGTGGTGCCCGAACTAAAAAGAATGTTGGATGATGATTCTCCTCACCCAGGATTTGGCGATTGGGTCCCCTAAAATCCTCAGTATCCCTTTAAAAGGGGGAGTATATAACGTATTTCTCCCTTCTTCCTAGCGTGACTTCGTGGTGTAGTGGTTCTGCACGCTAGGCCGGTATTCCAGAGGTTCGTGGTTCGATTCCCGGGCAAAGGCGATTGCTCATTTTTCATCTTGCCTGCTTCCAAAAAATACCTAATGTCTCCACAAACCTTAAAGCTATACTTCGATGTATACCTCTATTAACCCACAGTTGCCCTGATCGATATATCGTACTTAATACAAGAACTACGTTCAGAGATTTCTTCTACTTTTACTGACCCAAGTTCATTTATACTTAAATAAAAATAAAAAATTGCTTTATAAAATAATTACGAGTATAAAGCAATATCTTAACAGTAACAATAATTTAAAAAGTTATCTTCATAATATTTTTAGTGTAGTTAGACTAAGAATCAGTAATATAGCCTAGAAGAATGTATTTAACACAATAAGTCAAAGTAAATATCTATTGATGAGTAAAGGTAACTTAAAACTGCAAATTTAACTTTAAAACTTTCAAATTTATCAGAAAGATAATCATTGCTTCAACTTTCTTTGACGCTACAGCAGACGAATCGGCGTTTGTAGAAAAGTCAGCGCCTACATTAGTATGTTCAGCGACACGTATGGACTCATAAGTGATAAAATGTCTTCCAGGTGAACCTTGTGTTTATAGCATCATAATGGCCGTATCCGTATGCAGAGGCACATGTGAGAATGAACGCTGTAAGCTTGCATCATGCCGGCCCAGCTCCTGGATTGCCTATGTGGGTTGCCGTTAAAGTACATATCTCACTCCCCATTAGTCTGTATATCTGATATATTACTGAAGCCACCATTACATTACTGAAGTTTTTATGCTTTGGCTGGGCGATATCTTCTGTGACTTTCCCGTTCCCGTTTTTGGTAGGATAATATGTGAGTGTATGTTAACCACTGTGGCTTAAATAAGGCTTTTTCTATATTTCTCACTAACTGAAAACATCTCCTTAATGGTTGTAAAGAGCGTGGAACAGCAAAGCGATAGATAGTACTTGTGAGCTCGAGCGACAGATGAACTCTGAGGCAGAGTTGAAGTCTGCATGGACTAAAATATTCTTACCTGCTTGCTATCCAAATCTGTTCGATCCCATGTTCAGCCATATAATAGTTACTACTGTAACCAGAGGCGGATGTTCGGGTACTGATTTCGTTTTGTATCTCAAATTTTTGAAATTTTAATAATTATGTTCTTCTTTTACAAAATATTTATAAAATAATATGATTTTGCTTACTGTTTTCCTTCATGGGGTTGCAATTTTAATACTTAGCTCTTGTATGTCATGATATTCTGCAAAAAAAGAAATAATTTAAAAAAAAAAAAAAAAAAAAAAAAAAAAAAAAAAAAAAAGATCTCAGGTGATTTTATTGGAAAGAAATCATAAAAATTTTATTTTTTAAATACAGAAGTAGAATAAAGTTTATTAGAGAAGGAAAGGGTTTAGTTTTAATAGGATATATTTTTTCTACCATCGTATTTTATAATCGACAATTTAAAAGTTGTTTTCGTATTTTGTCCCATTTTATGACCTTTTTTTTTTTTTTTTAATTGTAAAAAATTCAATTCGTAAAATACTGAGATGGAACAAATAGTTTACTTTCTGGAGCTTATGATAACTTAAAATTTAAAGTTGTCTGATGATAAAATACTGTCGAGATAAAAATCTGTCAAAAATGAATTGCGCTCACACAAAATGTAAAATAAGTAAAAAGAAAATTCGAAATTAAAAATTTAGGCTTTAAGAGGCTCATATTCGGGTGCAAAATTGCGTAATTTCAAAGTCTGATGGCTTTAGATACCGTCATCTTTCCCCAGATCGACAAACTTACATGAGTCTCCTTTTTATTATAAAAGATGCCGAGAGGCTATATTTAAAGCTGCATGTATTTAGTTACATTTTGGATCTGGGATTACTCAAAATTTTTCTCATTGCTTATTTGCTTTATACCATTCTAGATTATAAAATATTTCATAGGAATGCTCTATTTTCAGTTAACAAGGAAAGCAAATAATAAGGCTCCATTTCTGCTTTATAATTCAGTTTCAAAATAATGATTTTTTTTTACGCACAGTAATGTAAATCATGAATTCTCTAGCAAATATTTTGCTGATCGAAGCATTTCTAAGACCGATGCACAAGTGCTATAAATGATAAATCATTTTACATTCCTTTTCTGTTATTCTGAAGATTGCCGTCAGCAGGATGAATGTAACATTGATAATAATAGAATTTTGAGTACTTTAGGATAATATTTAAGACCACCCTGCTTTCTTAACATCTTTTTTCAAATAAAAAATATATTCTAAATTCCGTTTTCGAATTTTACATGATTTCATGGTAATTAAAATTTCATTCCTGCCTTTCTCCTCTAATAAAATTGCGTGATCGTTTATTAAATTTAAAGGGAATAGCAGGAACATGATTCCCGTCATCGAACTATTTTGAATTATTGAAACCGGAAAACTATTTAAAATTCAGAAAACTTACTTCGCTATTTTATTCTCAATATCATAGATGAAGAATTATTTTGTATAAAAGGATTAATATTTTGCTAACGTGAACAAATAAAATACCAGTTATTTTTTTCAATATTATATATGAAGGCATCTTATAGTGCGCTATGTAAAATGTTATATTTCACTTTGAATATGAATTGATATTTGCTACGAAATTCTCCAATGAATGAGCATTTATGTTTAAAAACCTAATTTAAATTAAATAATTTCATATTTTAATTAACAAACCATTTATTTCTATTACTAATTGAGTGAAAATCCTTTTCCAAATAACTTGTTTCTGAAAAAGAACAATTCGTTATTGTGTATTTTTATAATAGACGTTATGAGATACATACCATTTCTTTTAAATTTGAGTAGAAATCACGAAAATTAAAACGTAACTGTTCATTTCTAAGACGTTGTACGGAATATATGGATTTATGAATGTTCGGAATTTTGTATTTCTAAATATTCAATGTAAATAATTTTTTTCGCGAAGTAGGCGTGGATGTTGCCAAATGGAAAAATGATGAAAAAAGTGCTTAGAATATTTTAATAATAATAGTTTTCTAATTAACCTTTTCACGTGGGCTATAGAGACTAATATTTTATGTATTTGTACAGTCTTAAGTTATATCGATGCAGCAAATTGAACAAATAGATAATGCCCTCACCGGGATTCGAATTCCCGACTTCCCGCGTCCAGCCGACACCACCGAGAGTTAAGACCAACGAGATAATTTTCTGTGGTGCCGGTCGAGCGCGATTCCAGTTACACCACGAAGGCATGCAGAGAGGAGGAAGAAAATACCTTATATATTCCCCCTTTTGAATGGATTAGGGGACCCACTCCTCAAATCCTGATGGTGACGAATTACCCTGCACCACCTTTTTAGTTCGGGCGCCATTTGTAAGGTCATTTGAATTTTTTTGTAACAAGGAAATCAAGTGCCCTCGCCGTGATTCAAACTCCGGACCTTTCGAATACACACCGAGCGTGCTTCCAGTTACCCCACGGAGGCATACAGAAAGGAGAGACAAGATACCTCATAAACTTTTACGCCATTTATTTTTTGGTTAAATTACATTATTAAATCCAAAGTTTTACAAATTAATTTTAAAAAGTTACAATTAATATAAGCAGGGTTGCCACGCTACCTGGAAAACCGGGAGAACCGGGAAAAGTCAGGGAATTCGAAAATTGACCAAAATATTCAGGGAAAAGTCAGGGAATTTAAGTATTTTTGTCAAAATCTGGAAAAGTCAGGGAAGTTCATACAACGATCCCGCCAAAAAAAGCGATTTTTGCGCCGACGTCGGAAGAGGTAACTTTTTTGGCGAATTATGTATCACGTGAATGTCATTCGGGTAGTTGGCATAGAGCCAATTTTCGCAGCTCCAATTTGATTGTCTTTTAGAAAGGCAAAGCAACTTCCCGCAACTTTTGGTTTCCAGTATTCTCGAGAATCGCATGTGCAGTGGCATGAACTAAAGAAAGTACCTGTTCTCGTATAAAACAAAATGGGTTTAATCCTAGTATACGGTACCATGGAGGTTAGAATCAAAGAATATGTATTGTAAAGAAGGAAAACCTCTCTGCAACAGACGTGGCTGTGGCTCCGTTCCATCATAGAGGGAAAACAGCTGTGCATGTCTGATATATCTGTGGCCAAAGCTCGAAACCGGTGTCGAAGTTCGAAAGTCACGTTATCAAGAGTTCATAAAATGAATATCGTTTAAAATTTCTTTAACCACTTGCGCTAAAAAGACGTGCCACGCATGTCAAGATGCTTTTGTCTCAAACCGCGAGCGACGTGAACACCACGTGGATAAGCATTTATCGCAAAAATGAAAATAACGTGGTGCACACGTCGCCTAACAACGAGATTGTTTATTTCTCGAGTTACAGCTCTGGATTGCACTCGCAGATGCGGAAGCGGCGTAAATGAGACACTTTACGGCTTGTTATATTGTAGCTCACAGCACGGCACCGCAACCGTGAAGTTTAGTCTTAGCGCAAGTGGTTAACTCTGAAGGAAAAGAAAATATTTTTTGGCGCAAGTAAATTAATTCATGGATTAGTTTATTTTCAGGGGGGAAAAAAAAAAAAAAAAAAAAACTACGAAAATCCGTTTTTAAAATTATTGCGAAAAATCGTCCTTTGATAAAACGTTTCTTCTTGGATTTTTCGCAATAATTTAAAAAAACGGATTTTCGTAGTTTTCTTTTGTCAAAAAAAAGCGTTTCTTCTTAAACGTGTTTCTCAATTTCCTGTACACATCGCTGAGAGGGAAATTCTGGCCGCCAGGTTCCGTCGCCAAATCCCTTGGCAAATTTTCCCTCCCATTCTAGCGGCGTAATAGCATTTACTTGTATGGAACCTTTTTTCTTCTTTACATAGACGTTCTTTGGTTAGATAATAATGGGATTTTGGCGACATCTTGATGCGCAGTAACGGGTCATTTTGGTCTTGGCGACAATTTTCAAAATCGTGCGAAGGCCACCATAACCGTATACTAGGAATTTTACCGCAAAATCTTTTTTAAACCTTTTTTTTTTTTTTTTCTTTTAAATAAATATTTTGTCATTTTGCAGTAAAATAAAAAATAGCAATCAGTCATCTAGGCTAACCATGTAATATAACTATATTTGCGAAAATATTCGTTTGATTATTCTAATTCAATTTTTATGTAATTATTTTTATGTTATTCGTATATTTAATGTTGCTTCTTTCCTCTAAATTTATTTATTATTAGTAAATAATATTTCCAAATTTCAGGAAATTTTCTCTGGCATAATCCTGAAATTAATTATAGCAGTATGATGACATACCATCAAGAAATTTAATGCACATATTTTTTCCTTATGTATGCTGCGAATAAATATAAAATACCTCAATTTATTAAAATAGATTTCTTTCTTTCGTTTAGCTGCAGAATGTCTGCAAAAAAAGCCTTATTTTATTCCAGATTGGGAAGATTCTAATCTCAATCTTCAGTGGAGAAAACAACAACTATTATAATTATATTTGTGTTTTCAAGTGTTAAGGTGCCTTTTAAGAACATACCTCACGCAAATTAAATTTACCTAAAATCTAACCTAACTATTTAGCATTGCGTTGTGATTTATAAGGACCGGATTAGCCTCGTGTTGAACTGGTGATGATCATGAGTAATAATTAAATAAAACATACATTTGTTATCCAATGTATATATCTTAAATGTTATTAAGTTTCTTAAGTGGAAAACTAAACAAAATTATCAAACAAAGTATACCAAGAATAATTAAGAATAAATGTCCTCTGGGATTTATTGAATAATAAGGTGAATTTGCTACACATTATAAGTAATACCATAATTAATTTACCTCTTAGAACAGCCAACGTACATTACGCGGATAGACTGGAATTTTCTTGAAACACACCTGGAAAACCTGGAAAAGTCAGGGAATTTCATTCTCCTGTTTGAGTGGCAACCCTGTATAAGTTACTGAAAATATATTAAAGATTTATTAAAAATTTAGGAAATCAAGTATATAGAATTCTGCAATTTTCTCATGTATTTTATAAATTTGTCTGCCATCCAGCTAAAACAGCAAATGCACATGTGCAAGCGTAATTTGTCCTTTTCTCCTTTTCTTTTGATGAATTCTTAGAGATGGCTGAAAGTAAAAGCAAATATAAAATTTATTAAAATTCTGATATGAAATTTCTGACGATTTGTCTTTTTCGCAGAGCATAAATTGCAGGAAATGATCGAAAATCGATCAAAATAAGAGAACTTATTATAATATACTATTTTGATTTATTTTTAAATCTCAAGATGCATGAATGTACTTTTTACTTTTCTCTCCATAACAGCAAAACATCCTCTTTTTTTTCTTTTTTTTTTTTCTGTGTAATTGTTTTATCTTTCGTTAATTATCTGATTGAAGTTTATATCATCAAAATAATTTTAAAAAGTACTGAATAATTATTTATGTCTTTAATTCTTTTCAGGAGAAAGAATTTTTCCGTTTCTGTAAAACAGATTGTTAAGAAAAAGGATGGGAAAAGTTCCCAAATGCGGGTAACTCACGATTTTAGTACGGAAACGTGAAATGAATATATTATTAAAAAGGAACGTCATGCTTCTAAGAAAAAAAGAGTCGTAATGATCTTTGATTTATAGTATACTTTATATTGAATAACATTGAAAACATTTGGTATTTTGTGTCATGATGATGCAATTACCTAATATTTACCAAAAAAATTAATAACTCCGGTTTAAAGAAACCAGTAACGAAACCAGAGTTGTGATAGGAAGTGTTATCTGAAAGAATTTATGATTAATTTCTTATGAATAATAGCTCAAAAACGCAACTTAAGCTGTATAACTTATATGTATGGAGAATGCATTTCTGTATCCTGCACAATAATACAGTGAGAACAAATAAATTTGCATAATTAAGGAGCACCTGGTTGTTTTAAAATTAATAGATGTTGAATATAGATTTCGTTTTAAAAATTAGTGTCTTATAGTGTTTCTTTTTAAAAGCAGACTCCGTAAATAAAATGAAAATGTACAAGAACTCATTTTTATTAAGCAACAGTTACTAATTTTCAGTATTTTGTACATTACAAAAGTAGGAAGTGAGTATTAAAGTTTTAATAACTTTATTGCTAAACTGTTTCAATAAGTTAAACAATAAGATGGATAGACATACAGCAATGCAATTTCATTGTTTACCCATTCTTGGGTAAATTTGCAACTGATATTCCAAACTGTAGCATTTGAAAAGAAAAAAAAAGATTAGATTTAATGCATTATGAAGACAAAAACACTGTACAATATATTCCATGCTCACTTAAAAACTTACTATTAGAAATGTTGCCTAGGAAGAAAATTTGAATAAAATATCTTTTAACAGGTATTTCTAGAAAAACTGCAGAAATAACAAATGATGTTCACAGATATTCCCAGCTTACAGAAATTGCAAATTCTATGAAAATATCTGAATTTTATTCACGCTCCATTTTCCCTAGAAATACTACTGGAATAAATTCTTTTTGCTGCAAGAGTGTTTCGTTAAGGAAGTTGAATTCGAAAAAAAAAAATTCATCCTCTTTCGCTGTCCAATGGAAACCAAATTTGTGCTCGAAAATGTTTCACTGAATTATAAATTTCTGCAAACAGTGAAATTCTAAAAGAGCTTATTTTCCTTTAAAATAGTACTACCCTGGAAAACTTTTGTTTCTTTAAATTTAAGAGAAACTTCATTCGCAAAACAAACTTTCGTAATAGCCAAAAATCTAATGCATTCTTCTACGTAATTAATCCATTAATGATAGAAGAAAAATATAAACATTTTCCCTACTTAATAATTTCATTGGTACTGTACATTTGACTGAAAAGGTTTGAGGAGATATCCTGAGAAAAGCTACAAATTACGTTTCACAAACGAAATATTTCATTAAGCTGAAATATCTGAAAATGCGTATTTAAAAATAAAATCTCTTCCAGATATCTTTTTCTGTTATGAAATATTTATATTCACTACTTAATTTCAATGGTATTGACTAATGGCTAGGAAGGAAGGCTTATAAGGAATTGCCTAATGACAATATTTAACAAAGGAACTGAAAGTCAAAAATATTACATGTTTGCATTACTTCCGCATGCTTAAACTTGCCAAACTCTAAGAATAAATCGTCCATTATGAATTCTACAGAAGCAGAATATGTAAAAAATCTAAGAGCACTAACATCGCTTTCTAAAAATTGGTACACTGGTTCATATCCTTACAGTCAAAATCTAACAAGAGCTCTAATATCCTTTTCTAATAATTGGTACAATAGTTCATTTTCTCACAGTCTGAATCTGCAGTTATCTAATTCTCAGATAGCCACTCGTGAAATTATCGTTATCATTTTCTATAGCATGGTGGTCGTAAGCAGCATATTTGGTAACTTTTTGGTGTGTAACATTGTAATTCGGAATCCAAGCATGCGAAGCGCCACATATGTTTTTATTGTCAACTTAGCTCTATCTGACCTCACGATGACTATCCTCAATATTCCATTCAACATAGCAAGAATACTTTTGAACAACTGGCCTTTCGGTGATTTCATGTGCTCTTTCGTACCTCTAGTGCAAGTGACATCAGTATATGTATCAACATTCACAATGGCATGTATAGCAATAGATAGGTACAGAATCATCAACAAGCCTCTAAGACCTCGAATACTGACTTCACAAGTAAGTTACTACTGATAGTAAGTTACTCCTATATTCATACTTGTCTTTCTCTATGGTAGTTTAGAAGACATTATAAAATGTTTATACTACATTTAACTATTTTTTTTAAATTTAACACGACTCTGCTTTCTCTCCAAAGTATAAGGTCCGTCAGAAAAATGTATATACATTTTAACAGATGGTATCTGCTTACTGGTTTCGAATTTGAATTATTTTTACAGTTATATAGTTTCGTCACAGGCTGATGAGGCTATGAGTTCGGAAAATTTTCCGAGGCGCCGGTGTAGGTGACTCTGTTACCTGATATCAATGGTTTAAAAAGATGAAATATTAATAATAATTGTACAATACATGCAGAAAAAAGACAAACTTATAGGAACAAAAATATTTAATGACACTCTAAAACATTCGAAAAACAAACTAATAGAAACCTTTAAGACGCTGAGTTTAAAATCAACGTCTTACCCCCCTCGTCGTTAATTCGTTGAAATTCATAATTGAGGGATCTAATCCTGTACTCCATTGCATAAAAGCCAGTATTTTTTATATCCAGACACTCCTCGGATTATTACATAAAATATTATAATGATGCCGGCACATTTATCAAAGTAAGCTAATGTTCGCCAAGATTAAGACCTTCACATGGATGCCTCGGCAGCCTTGAATGAAAGTTGATTTCTTCATGATTATACTGTAGAGCTATTAGGTTATCTGGAAGCAAGAGACTTGAAAAATGAGCAACGCCCTCGCCGGAAATCAAATTACGGACCTCTGGAATACGTGCCCAGCGTTCAGACCACTACACTACGAAGGCGGGGAGAAATGCCTTATATACTTCCCCTTTTAAAGCGAGACTTGGGGATTAGGGAACACAATCGCCAAATCCTGGTGGCGGAGAATAGTCATCCACCACCTTCTTTAGTTCGGGTGCCACTTGTAGAGCAATTAGGTTATTTGGAAGCAACAGACTTGAAAATTGAGCAACGCACTCGCCGTAAATCGAACCACGGACTTCTGGAATACGCGCATAGCGTGCAGACCACTACACCACAAAGGCACGCTAAGAAGGCGGGAGAAATACCTTATAACCCTAATCAGATGGGTGATAGCACACTTGTGCCTTTATGTTAGGACACCACTGTGTTTGAGCTAGCGACTGTCACCTTAAAAAGGGTGCAGGTACCTTTGCGCAATTTGACGACTGTTCGGCAAAACTGGCATCTCGGCAGCTTTGATGACGATTACCTTTCTCACGACGAACGCCATAATGATGCTCGCATCCTTGCGTTTACGTGCAATGCCCGCCCTTGGTGAAAAATGGACAACTTGAAAAGGTTATCGGTAATTTTTTCGAGTTGCCCGAGCCAGTTATACTAACTCCAACTGCCTCTGACTATGGTGCTTGCTTAACACATATTGGTTCTCTCAAAAATTGTAATATGTCACGTATGACATATGATAGTAAATCAAAATTGTTTGGGGGACCATGAAGTAGTGCAGAAAATCGGTTATGCTGGAGGTTCAAGAAATTACAGCAAAATACCTCGCATTACTAGTCCCCGCATGCACATTGACTAATGTTGTTTAAGCAACCCTTCACTGTTGTTTCATGTATCTGACCGCTAATGGCTACTACTCTGACACTTAGATCACTCTAAGTAACTGTGAAAGAAAGAAGATTATATTAAATCAAATTGTACCTATGATATGCATGATTATATTAACCTATAATTAAGTTAGGTACTAACACACAATATATAATTATCTTTCGTTAAAGTGTATAGTACATTTTTCTGACGAACACTGAGTTTAATAATTTTATGCAATATTATTAAATACAGTTATATTTTTCCAGAAAATTAGTTCGACATACTATTGTATAGAATTATAAAGGTGTATAAGAATCCATTCTGAATGATTTTAAGCTTCCTAACATTATGTATATATAGAACCTCGGATGCTCAGAAAACAAATATTATAGTTTGATTACTTTACCAGTTTTAGGTTGGAAACAAATTTTTGAAAGATTTTTCCGACCATATACATATTTTGCCCTACGTTCTATACGTAAACATCTGAAATCTTTAGCACATCTAAAATCTTCCGTACGTCAACTTCTTTACAATAAATGGCAACCAGATTAGAATGATGAATTTACAGGCAGAAGAGTGTTTAATTTCATTTCAAAAATTTATATTCTTAAAGTGACATTCCAGAGCTCACACAATTCTTCACTGGACATGAAACATTTATGAGCTACCTTAACAGAATTGGTTTCATGGAAAATGATCTTGCATATGTGGCGAGATTGGCGAGCTCTGCCACTATGTAGCTGATTGCTCATTTACCTCCAACCACCATATCTGAAAGCCAGAAGGCTGACAGTTGTGAAGTACGAGCAATAAACATCTGCAAAAACAGACGCTGAGTCAGAATTCGTGGTTAGTTCGTGACCAACTAGAATGCTGTAGTAAACTGCTGCTGTAAGTGCTGCAAGCTCAGCTTAGAACACTGCATTGGCAGAATTTAGTTTTCGTGCCAGGTAAATAGGTAAATAGCTCTAGAGTGCTTTGCCGTTACCTAATAAACCAAAAACCAAACCCATGCTTTCAGTAGCACAAGGAGACAAAACTGATCAATTAATATCTCCAGCCACACTGTAATGTTTTGTGACTAGTAAAACAACATGTTCAGCTATATCTAGCAATTGCACGTTCTTGTTAACTTAATATTGTACATTTTTCCTCCTTAATGAGAAATCTTTAAATATTTGTATTGATTTCATCTACATATATCTACTTGTATCTACACCTTGGCGTTATATTTGTATGCTCAGTTTATGCTATAAACACTGTAATAGCAGTGTCCTCCACCTCGTACTTTCCCTCCTTGTTTCGGTCCCTCTTTCAATATTCTCGAGCCAATTACCGGAGGATATTGAATTAAGCTGTATTTTTTTTTCATTCCATCGACGGGATCTAACAGACTGATGAGCACCTAACCCAGTTCTCTGGATGGCGAAATAAAAAGAAAGCTGAGGTTTTCTTATGTATTTAGTATTTAGTTTTACTTTTGATTTTTTCTTGGCGCTGATCGTATGACTAGGTTTCTCAAACGAATTTATGAGATAACCTTGAAATTTAAGGTGGAAAATAGCACATTATTCCTCATGACAGCTTAGTATTCCATAAAATACGACCGAAATCTTGTTGTATTTGTTTACACATGGCAAATATAAAGTATCATTTTCAACTTTCATTTGCAAAGTTTATCTGCTTCATATTCGGTCTAGAACAGCAATGTAATATAACTCTGCTCTCGAAACATAAAAAGTTGTAAACTACTGCAATTGAGTTAAAATACTATTTCCTAATTTATGTTTTATTTTATTACAGGCTCTAATTGTAACCGCTTGTGTATGGCTGCTGGCAGTCCTGTTGTCCCTTCCACATGCTATCTTCAATAAAGTGCAGCCTGTTTTCACTTACAGAATCCTCATTCGATGTCGATCCGTTTATCCCGAGAACTTACAGCATTGGATCACGCTAATGATGGTGACTACGCAGTATATTTTACCATTATCCATAACAGGAATCGTTTATTGGCGTATTGTGGTTCAAGTATGGACTAGAAATGCTTTAGGAGTAGTCACTGAAGAGCAAATGATTACACAAGCGAAAAACAAGCGAAAGGTGGTAGTGATTTTTTTCATATTAATTAAGATTTTAAATTTTCCCCTTCAATTCAAATGCAGCCACTTTCTAACAAAACTCACACCTCAAATTCAAAACATTGAATTACAACTGCAAATTGATTTACAAATACAAATTGATTTACAAATACAGCAATGTTGTCATTGCACCTACATGTAATTCAGTATCAATTAAAATGAATGCTGCAGAAGACTTATTATTTAACCCTTTCGCCGTCCTCTCCTGTCCGCGAAAATTTCTCCCCAGCGGCCGTCTGATCTTCGTAGCGTGTAATGTTGTTTTCTCTGTACATCATAACTTTCCATACATGACTTTCGTAGTGGATGAATGTCAATGAATATTAAGTAAAATTATAAGGAAAGCATAATGGAAAAATAATAAATCTCTGCTATGTCTAACAGCAGGCTAATTTGATAACATCTGATCCAGGCGGTCCACTCCTCCCATTTGGTGTTGTATCTTTCAGAATTGTTTTTTTTTTTTTTTTTTTTTTTTTTTTTTTTTTTTTTTTTTTTTTTTTTAACAGTCTTTTCCGTGTCCAACATCAATCATCGAGTAATTATGGACCGTACTCATCAAACGTATATCCTTCTCGTCTTTCCAATTCACAACTTCATTTTTTCTCGTCTCATATTTGAGTAGACGTTGAAGCTATCTCTCACTGTAGAAGAACGCTTGAGGCGCGTTGCGGCCACCCTGCGGAAGTTTCACTTGAACGCGCTAGACGCGTTACGGACGACAAAGAGGTTAAATATACTCTATTTGAAAGTACAACTTGCGAAGTCTTCTACAGTACGATAGTTTTAAAAATAGTCTTTCTCTGAGCAAACTTCAGAATGAATTGGTCTGCATGGGAAGTTGGTAATGAATCACTGAAACCAGGGACCATCTGAAAAAAAATTTTATATAATGAGATTTTTTGCAGCGACTAATTCACATAAATCATTTCTAGGAAAAGACTAGTATTTCTGATAGCATAAGTAAATATTATTAATATTCAACAGGATCCCTATAAGACTATCTCTATATTAAACCGAAAATATCTAGAACCTATGATTTCTACGTTCTCAGAAAGGATTTACCTTATGATTTCCACGTTCTTAGAAAGAGTTTACCTATGATTTCTACGTTCTTAGAGAGGATTTACCTTATGATTTCTACGTTCTTAGAAAAGATTTACCTTATTCCTTTTAATTTTTTCAAGATGTTCTACTTATAACTATGAACATCGACAGCCTTTTAAGATTCATTTTAGTGAAATAAATAGGCTTGCAGTCCTAATAATGCTAAATAAACTAAACCTACGAAAGTAACTTTCAAAATTAGCATACTATAGAATCTGCCTTGTATACGTTAAAGTTATAACATCTCGTATTCTTAGGTAACATAAACTGTTTGAACCGTCTTAAGACTTGGAACAGGTGAGTTATCACAATGTCTTGTAAAGTACGTACCACAGCAACAGGTAGAGGGTAAAAATAACCCTTTTATTTTTTAACTCAAATAAAATGTTAACAGAAGGTACCTCTCGTAATTACAGAAGCCAGTATTTATGGCGTAAATCACAGGTAATAAATTGACTTAACTAAGTGAAATGTAAGTTAGCTTAATAGCTATACAAATAGTGTAACGCACAAGTTTGACCTAAGGTCGGAGAGACAAGCTTAATGGAAAGAACAATGCAACGCCGCAGAATACTGCTTTTAAGAGAATCAAATTAGCAACTTGGCCTTCAGTAGGCAGAATATGCTTTGATTCTACTCTCTAAACCAGTGGTGCCCAACCTTTAGCCTTTCGCGAACACATTTTGGCCTATCGCAAGCACATTTCCAAAATATCAACATTTTTGTTAAACATATTTCCAATCTTATGTGAATCCTGAAAATGATTCGGCAGATGGGTTTGAGATGATAATAGGGTAACGTTTGAAATCAGAGAAGTGGACTTCATTAATTTCAGTGCATTTAGGTTTTCCGAGTATTCCTCTGTTTAATGTCTTGTGGCTTAATGGCTTGAAATTTGAATGGGTTTTTTTCTTCGTCTGATTCCACAAATTAACTTATCTGAAAGTTATAGTCCCAGTCATTGAAAAGGGTTTTTTTTTCTGGAGATTTAGTTTGATCAGTTTAGCTGAATCCGAGAAAAAAGATCGGATAACCAATTATGTCCAATTCTTAACTTCGCTTCCGGATTTCCAAAATGTTTTATGGCGAGAAGTTCTACAATCGTTGAAGTACTTTTCCCTGCTGCCTTCTAACATCGATAAGCATAAGATCCATGTTCGCTATCAAGTTCATCAGTCAGCAATCAGTTATTTTATAACGCCTTGCAAGATATCTCTTATGACTATAAATTCTTACCATATTTTAATAATTAAGAAATATAAATGAATGGTTATTTTTTAAATATTTTTTGTTCATAGCACCTAATCGGGCTGGCGAGCACATGCAAAATGATCAGCGAGCTCACTTGTGCTCGCGAGCACAAGGTTGAGCACCGCTGCTCTAAACAGTACTTTTAAATACTGTCTCCTTTCTAACTCATTTGAATGCCATGCGAGATAGAAACTGACATTCTGGAAGGAAAATGTGAAGTAAGAAGGACAGGAAAGCAGTTTAACATAAAATAACTGGTTAATAAACTAAACGAGACCATCCCCTACCCGAAAAAAAATCTGAACTGTTTCAAATTTTAAATTACGTTCAAAAAGGCGTTTTTTTAACATTTTGTGTGTTACCTTTATTTATTAAATATCATGTTCTTCGCACTTAAACCATAAACTTCAGTTCAAGAGCAATATCGAAAAATAATTTTAAATGAGCATATCTTTAAATCCGAGAACAGCTCACGCGGGAGACAATTTATTTTAATTTTTTTTTTTTTTTTTTTTGGGAAACGTTTGCCATGCTCGCTTGAATCCTCGAGTTTGTTTATAAAAAATTCGTTAAAGTTTTATAAGATATGAAATCGATAATAAAACAAATTCCAAATTTCAAATTCGGGCTTCCAGATGGCCATATTCGCAGTATGATTACGTCATTCAAAATACGATGGCTCTAGGTGCCGTTGTTTTATCACAATGAGAGAAGCATACATACATTTATATAGATTCTTCATTATTTAATTTCTTCAAATGTAATACAGGGCGATAACATTTGGTGGCAACAGTTCGAAAAATGAAACGACATTCAGAGTGAGTCGACGCAAAATCGCAAAACGAAAACAATACAATAGTTCCTCAGGGACAGAATTCCTTTGGACAAATAAATAAATAAAGGTAGAAGAAAAGGAGAAAAAGAAAAGAATACAAAGAAATTTCATTCCACTCGTTAACTAATTAGTTCTTTAATTTTTGTAGTCTTAGATACATGTGAAGGTTACACTAGTAAAACGGCAGTTTCAGTTTCTCTAAATATTGAAGAAAATATAGATAATTAAAGATAAAACATACGCGAAAACTTAATAAATAACTAAAACACCTTTGATGCTAGAAATTTCATTGAAGGGATTTTTCCGAAAAGTTTTGGAACGTTACGTTATATTACGTTAATCCACCAAGTATTTATCACCTACTGCTTTAGCAAGTGTTACCTTAGCAACAACGCTGTATGTTAACACATTCGTGACCGAAAACTCATAGGTCATCAGTGACCAATATCATTGAAGGTCTTCAGTAACATTGGATATTACGTCCTTCATACCATTTAATTTTAATAATTTATCTAAATTTTCTGCATTTTCTTACACCAGAGAGTTTATGGACTGATCACCAGTAAATTCATTGGTGACTATATCTTTCAGTTACGATATAATTGTAATTAAAAGGGGTAGGGTACGAACTACGCCAAATTTGATCGAAGATACCCGTACCCTCTTATTTAATCCACGAACTGCGCGACGTTTCCTGTCCCCTATTTCTTTCCCAAGAAGATTGGGTG